GTGTCACAAACGGGTTCGTCGTCTCTCATGTTTTGTTGCGCCATGATTCGCTGCCTTTGTCGTGACGCGCCGCGATCAACACTGTTCTCTGAGAAGGTGAGCTGTGCCGCGTGTGCGCCACAGTCCCCACTGATGCATGCAAGTGCGATCTCGTGGACGGTAGTTCACGGGTCAGCCTTGGTCTTCTTAGCGACAATGCAGGGCCCCGCACGTGCGGGAATACCGTTGTCTTGACTGTCGCCCAGACAACCCCCAGAGGCGCCCTGAGAGCCCCCAGACGTTGCCAGGACGCCAGTGCCGCGACGCCTGCCGCGGCCAATGACGTCTCCAGAGGCCTCCGAGATGGTCCGAGAGGGCTCCGAGACAGTCCGAGAGCGCTCCACGAGACATCCGAGATGGCCTACAGGCTGCCCACGAGGCCCCCGAGACGCTCCAAGAGGGCTCCGAGAGGAGTCCCCCGACAGTCCCAAGAAGCAAAAGTCGTGGGAACAGGTGCATGTTCGGCAGTCTCGTGCGTTTCCTTTTTGAAGCGTCCAAAAGACGACTGCACAGGCCCCCAAGATCGCCCCAACACACCCCCAGGGCGGCCCAGGAGGCGCTCAAGACGGCCAAAGAGGCACCCAAGACGGCCACGGGAGCAGCCCAAGACGGCCTCAGGACGGCCCAAGACGGCGCCAAGACGGCCCAAAGACGGCCCAATAGGCCCTCAATTGGCCCAAGAGGTCCCCAAGAGGCCTTGAGGCAGCCGAAAAGAAGTCCTCAGAGGCTCCCCCTACGAGTCCGACCCAAGAAGCGTTTTAGGATCGGTGCGATCGAAATGGGTGCGGAAGGGACGGATACGAAGACCGATAGCAGTTTCTGATCATTTTTGAACAGGACTCGTTGTCGGCGTCGCCGCGAACGTTATTCATTTGAGGCAGAAGATTGCATGCCCAACTGCGGCCGCCGTCGGTTTCGGACAACATATGTTGTTGGGCATCGTACCCATGTTACGTACCCCTTTCGGGCGTCAAATACAGGAAGGTTCCGGTTCGGCTAGGTTAGGCTAGGTTTCGAAGGGTTTCCGGTTCGGTTCGGTTTGGTGTCGTCATCCGTCCGCTTCGGTTGGCAATGTGAACTTCCCCGTACGGTTCGGTCTGGTTCGTTATTTGTATTGTTTCCGGCTCGATCCGGTGGTTCGGACGTGGCATTCGGATGTGGCGAGTTCGGCCAGAGCAGCATGGCCCAGTGCGGGGAGGAGGAAGTGGAGGAGGAAGAGGAGGAGGAGGAGGAAGAGGAGAGGAAGAGGAGGAGGAGGAGGAGGAGGAGGAGGAGGAGAAGGAGGAGGAGGAGGAGGAGGCGGGGGAGGGGGAGTAGGAGTAGGAGTAGGAGGAGGAGGAGGAGGAGGAGGAGGAGGAGGAGGAGGAGGAAGTTTCCCCCTTCGATGTGGTCTACCTGTCTTTTGGGAGGCCTTCACCGCTCCACCACCAGGTGTAACCAGGCGCGATTCCCCCTTCCCCTTTCGATCCTCTGAACAACAGTTGTTTTCCAAGAGGAGGAGGAGGAGGAAGAAGAGGAGGAGGAGGAGGAGCTTGCACTCGACCAACAGGGGCTTGCTCGAGGTCTACTCCCCCAAGGCGGACAGCTTGGCCAGATGAGTCAGGGAAGTGATCTTGATCACCCTGAATTTACATGCTACTTTTGCGGGCCCCCAGCTTGGGTTTGGACATGCCCCCGCTGATGCTTCCAGGGGGAAGAGGAGGAGGAGGAGGAGGAGGAGGAGGAGGAGGAAGAGGAGGAGGAGGAGGAGGACCAATGTAAACCCAAGAGTCATCAACGATGTTGGAGTAATCCCTCCCTCCAAGCTCCCCCTTCAGAGGCCCTTACAACGGTTCATTTCCAGTGATGGAACTGCTTGGAAGACACCCGCTTGAAGACCCTGAAGCATGCCAGAACATTGTTCTCGGGCTTCCAACGCCATGGATTAACCTGACTGTTGCGTCTTGACGATCGTGAACCGTGCCATAACGCCATTCCTAGGATTCCAAGACAAAGAACCAACGTAACTGTTGCACCCGCATAACCTTGAATCCTTCCATAACATAATTCCAGGTACGCTGACGATGGGAATCCGTGGAACTCCTGAAAAGCGTTTAGAAATAATGTGCGCGGCGCTAAGGCGAGAGCCACATGTTGAAACGGAGCCGCTCTCAATCCGTGAGACACATGCAAATGCTCAAAACGAATATGCGCGGCGCTAAGGCGAGAGCCACATTTTGAAAACGGCCCGCCCTTCATCTGCGAAGCTGTTGCCAATGTTTAAGCTTCAGAGTCATCAGTGGTGAGGAGGAGGTCTCAGGCGAACCGCCCGGCCCGCTCTAAAACTGGGCTCTGGGTGCGACAGGGAGAAGTTATTTACAAGGAGAATGAATGGAGGATGAGGAGGAGGATCAGGAGTGGGAGGACCAGTGGAAAGCCAAGAGTCACCAACGATGTTAGAATTATCCCTCCCTCCAAGCTCCCTCTTCATAGGCCCCCACAACGGTTCATTTCCATTGAGGGAACTGCCTCGCTCGAAGACAACAGTTTGAAGATCCTGAAGCGTGCTAAAACATTGTTCCCGGGATTTCAAAGCCACGTATCAACTTGAATATTGCGTCCTGACGATCCAGAATCGTGCCAGAACGCCATTTTTGGGATTTCAACACAGCGAAACAACATAACTGTTGCGCCCGCAGAATCCGGATTCCTTCCAAAACACCGTTTCTGGTGCGTTGATCCTGGAAAAGCCGTGAAATCCTTGAACCGTTTAACAAAGAAGGTGCGCGGCGCTACGGCGAGAGCCACATTTTTGAGAACCACATTTTGAAAAAGAAGCCGCCCTCAATCCGTGAAGCTCTTGCACAACGTTTCAAGACGAATGTTCGCGGCGCTAAGGCGAGAGCCACATGTTGAAAACCACCCGCCCTCAATCCGTGAAACGCTTGCAAATATTTAAAATGAATCTGCGCGGCGCTAAAGCTAGAGCCACATTTTGGAAACCGCCCGCCCTCAATCCGCGAAACTCTTGTACATGTTTAAAACGAACGTGCGCGGCGCTAGGGCGGGAGCCACAGTTTGAAAACCACCCGCCCTCAATCCGTGAAATTCTTCACGCTTTGCGTATCCCCACCAGCCCATTCAGAAGCCCTGCCCACGAGAGCTGACGGGAAACGGGACGAAGGGACACATCTAGGGAAACAAAGCGAGCAACCAGGATGAACCGAGAGATCTCTGGGAGCAAGGCGGTGGCCTTGGAAGGCCTCTTCGGGCCATCCCTGGGGGCCGCGTGGGGGCGAGGGGAACAGGAGGAGGAAGAGGAGGAGGAGGAGGTCGATCAAGAGATGGGGGGTCCTCGATTTCGGCCCCTTCCCAGGAGCCCTCAAAGTCGCCTCTTGGAGCTCTCCTGGGGCTCTTTGGGAGGGTAGCGGAGCCCTCTTGGGGCTCGTTGACGGGTCTTGGGGCTCTTGGGGCTCTCTTCGGGCCCCCTTGGGAGCCCTGGAAGGCCTCTCGGGGCCATCTTGAAGGCCATCGATCAAAGGAGAAGATGGGATGACGTTCAGCCCCCCCCCCCCCCCAAAGAGGCCAAAATGAGACCAACACCTTAGTACAACAAGAAAGTTCCAAGAGGCCCCCCAAGAGGGTCAAGAGGAGCAAACTGAAGGATGTCGATGTTCCTGCTTTTGGGGGCGTCCGATGCTACATGATGGCCCAACCGACCCTCAGTATCGCTCCAAGGAGGCTAAACCGGCCCCCGAGAGGGTCCCCAGGCAGCCCAATACGGCCTCAACGCGGCCCAAGAGGGACCCAAGATGGACCATGCCAGTCCCAAGAGGGCCCCAAGAGGGGGAAGTGGCACTAGCATTTCGCACCCTCCACCCAAGATGGCCCCCGAGACCGCAAGCAGACCCCAAGGAAGCTCCCCAGAAACCCCAGGAGAACGCACGAGACCCAAATCAGGCCCACGAGGGCCCCGACATACGCCAGACCACACACACACACAAACACAAACCGCCTCACGGAGGCTCCCGAGGAAAGATCCCTTAGAGAGCTCTGGGACCACGCTGGACACCCAAGGGAGCCCCATCGACGACCCAAGAGAAGACCAGACGTTCGGCCACGAACGCGCCGAGGCCATTGAAACGTTCGTGTGCTGGCCTCTTCTCATGCCTCCCTTCTTCAGCCACGCGCAGAGGGGGGTGGAGAGAGGGAGAGCTTCTTAGAAGCACCCCTGCTTCTTAGAAGGCGCGGGCCCTATCTATAGATGTAAGGCCGGCCCCTTCTAAGAAGCAGCCCCCTTCTAAGAAGTCCTCCCCCTCCCCTCACACCCTTGTGCGCGCCGCCAACTTCTCCCTCCCTGCCGCTGCACGCCGCTCTCACGTCGCTCCTCGCTTCTCTCTCTCTCTCTCTTTCTCTCTCCTCACTCCTGGCTCGCGGCCCCTCTCTTCTTGCTCCTCCTCGCTCCTCCCACCTCTCTCTTGGCATCCTCCTTCTTCCTCTTGACCAGTGGCGTCTGCATCCCCCTCCTTCAGCTCTCCCGCATCCCTCATCGTTTTTTTGTTTTCTCTCTCTCTCTCTCTCTCTATTTCTCTTTCCCTCCTTCTCTCTCCGTCTCTCTCTCTCTATCTCTTCTCTTGTTGACCGTTGCTTCCATTCTCGCTCCTTGCTCCTTAATCCTTGCTGATCGCTCCTCGCTTCCTCCCCCCCTCGACCCTGACTCCTCGCTCCTCGCTCCTCGGTCCACTCACGAACTCCAGGTTGCGTCAGCTGGCACGGGCATCAAGAAAAAACATCATGCAGCCTCATGTGGCAACAGCGAACAGCAGCAGTCCGCAGCAAGCAGCGGTAGCAGACAGCCCAAAACCGCAGAAACAGCAACATGCCGCATGCAGTATCACCCTGCTGATGCGGGCAGCAACAGCAGAGGCGAAGTTCGGGCCCAACCTCATCACGAAAGTCTTTCGGCAACATCTCTGCGTCAGCTACAACGCTGCGATCAGCGCGTGCGAGAAGGGCGCGCAGTGGCAGCGGGCGCTTGTGCTGCTGTGCGAGATGTGGGAGGTAAAGCTGCAGCCCAACGTCATCTTCTCTCCGACAATACCTGGAGCAGTGCATGCGAGAAGGGTTTCTGGGCAGAGTGCCTTCTGGCGGCTCCGAGCCGCTGAAGAGGGCGCCCCGATGGCCCCACGATGGCTTCGAGCCGCTCCAGAGGCCGCCCCGACGGCCCACCGACGGCTCCGAACCGCTCAAGAGGGGGCCTCCACGACCCCAAGTCGGCTCCAAGCCGCTCTAGAGGCCACCCCGACGGCCCCAGGGGCGCTCCGAGCCGCTCAAGAGGCCGCTCCGACGGCCCCAGGGGCCCCCAGGGCAAGCCAGGAGCCCCCGAAGTCGGCCATCGAGGATTCCCCAGGACAGCCGCGAGGCACAAACATCGTCGCATTCCATGCGGAAGACTCACATGTTTGGCATTCTCGTGCTTTTCGTCTCCGACGCGTCCGCGACGGCCAAGAGCTCCCCACGATCGTCCTAAGATGCTCCCATCAGGGCCCCAAGACGGGCACAAGACGGCCCAAGAGGCACCCAAGACGGCCCAAGAGGCACCCGAGACAGCCCAAAAGACGGCCCAAGACGGCCCGAACGTGGCCCGATAAGCACCCAGGACGGCCCACGACGGCCCCAAGGCGGCCCAGAAGGCACCCAAGGCAGCCCCAAGAGCCGCCCAAGACGGTCCGAGACGGTCCAATACGGCCTAAGAGGCGCCCAAGACGGTTCCCAGATGGCCCGAACGGCACCGACGAGAGCCCAAGAGGGCCCAAGGGGCATCCTCGAAGCCGGAAAAAAGCCCCAAGAGGCCCCCACCCACACGGCCCCCAAGCGGCTTGAAGTGGCTACATAATTCCTTCCAACAGGGGGGGCGGACGAGAGGTGAGAGGCAGAACGCAAGCCCCAACAGCCGTTTTCGATGCTCCGAGGGTCGACGATGGGCGATCCAAGATCAAGCGCATGCAGGATCGAGGCAAGAATGCGGAGGAGGAGAGAAAGAGGAGGAGGAGGAGGAGGAGGAGGAGGAGGCGAAAGAGGGGAAAGAGGAAGAGGAGGAGCAGGAGGAGGAGGAGGAGGAGGAGGCGGAGGCGGAGGCGAAGGGGCAGGAGGAGGAGGAGGAGGAGGAAACCCGAGAATTCCCAGAAGAGAGCCTCATGAGGGTCCAGATGACGTGCGGAGCTCTGAACGTGGCCCCACGACGGCCCAAGAGGGTCCCAAAAGTTCCCGAAGAGGCCCACAAGAGGACCTGAGAGAGGACCTGAGAGGCCCTCGACCCCTCAAGAGGACCAAAGAGGCTTCAAAACTACCTCCTAGAGAGGGGCCCGGCGCTCCTGACACGCCCGCGGGAGTTTGGTCTTCAACAGGATTCGAACATAACGGCCTCCCAAACGTAGCAGAGCACGTCCGACCCAACAGCGGCTTCTGTTAAGATCTTATTAAATTATTGACGCTTCGCGTATCCCCACCGGGCCTACCGCTCCCTGTCCGCCGCCTCGGAGCCGCTGACCAAAAGTATCCCCACCGGGTGCCGCCGTCCCGGACATCGCCTGTTGCCGCCAGACCGTTGTCGAGCGGCCGCCGACCAAAAAAGTATCCCAACCGGAATGTGCCACTATTGTACAAACAAGAGGTATTGCCGTTTGCAGTCCTGTCTGTGACGAGATTTCCCCTCTTCACTCTTGCGCTGACACGGTGCTGTTGTGTCGCCTACGGCACGAACGTCGTCCAGGTGTGCCCGTCGGTCCTGCTCGCATCGGGCCTTGTGCCGACTCACACCGGGCGGTCGATCTCTACGTGTTCATGGTCGCACCGCCGCGCCATTTTGGCTGCGTGTTCGTTGGTCGCCACCGGGGTCTCGACGTCACCGAGTTGGAGATGTTATTTCAGGCCCTTTTTCCTCTGAGTGGCTGCTTGCGCGCTCACTTTGCTTGCCTCTCTTCTTGCTGCCTAGTCGCGGCCCGGCTAGTGTTTGGACGGCTGTCGACCTGCTTCGCGAGCCCGCACACCAAACAAAAAATATCCCCACCGGATGACGCTAGCGCTTCGGGAACCAAGGACCTGTCTCTTCCCATTCACCGAACAAGAAGGGACAGGGGATATCGTGGAGGCCGTCCTGGGCATATGCAAACCTGGCATCGCAACTGGCACCACACCCGTTGCAAAATATCTTCATTTCCAAACGCATTTTGGCCTGACATGGAAGATTTCCAATCACGACTACCAGAACCTGCATCGGACATTTACTGACGCGCTAAGACACGCGGGCGTTCTCATAAGTACCAACCACCATCACGATGTCTCGAAACGAACAGGGTGCCCGTCAACGTGGGGAGAATTGCAAACGTTCTGACTTTCACATCAAAGGGATCCTGCTGGTGATCGATCAGCTCACTGAACCGCTCCAGTTACCGCTGGCTCCTACCAACGACCAGCCTGACAACGAGACAGCCAGCTGCACCATCAGCTGGCTCTACAAATCCATCACAGGGAATCACAAGCATCTCGGGCACACGCCGGACCAGAGGCTGCACTATGCTGGCACAGGGCGAGCGGCGGACCAAAAGGACCTTCTCATACCTGAACCCCCATACAGCGAAACTGGGCGCCACAATGACACCGAAAATGATCCGAACTGAAGGCGACGCTTCTCGGCGTCGCAGAACACTACCAGCTTCTACTGTGACGATTGTCAGAGAGACCCCTTTTCACAAACATCGAGGGCAGTTGGGAGGACAAGGATCTGCGTCGACGTCTGGCAACGGCGAGGACTGCAGTGTGGCACGAGGGACGTAATTGCCGTTGGCTGTGCACTGGGTGCTGGGTGGAGAGCCTCGAGAGGCAGGGCATTCACGCCCCCGCAGGAGACACGATGCGCGAAAAGCTGGCCAACCTACGGAATAGCATGCCCAGCAGGCCCACAGCTGTCAGTCTGACACCGCCTGTGCACCTCCCAACCGGGCTTGCCAAAATCGCACACCCAACCGCCGACTGCCTGCTGCGCGACCTCTCGCACCGGACTCAGCCAACGACCCCAAGGCGACAGGCGCACCGAACCCCCCAACCCGACCTGAGGACGACCGCTTCGGCACAGAGAGATACAAGTCTGGGATCTACAGTGCAACGTGCGACGGCTGCCCAGAGCCCGAGCTGCAGTACACTTGGAAACACGGGGAGCCAGCTGTTGGGTGCTTCGTCTGGCGACCGACCCCTGGCATGGAGGACACAGAGCAGTGCAACCTACCTTCCTGGGGCAATTGGATCGACTGCTGGACGAGTGGCGACTGGAACGCTGGATGGTACTGCGGGAACTGTCTTGCTCACATTTCTGACGCTGCTCCACCCGTTATCAACCGCATCCTTGCGCGTGACGCACCATCGATGTATCACGTCCCCCCCCCCACACCACGGACATCCAAGAAGAGGAAAGATGACGCGGGTGGCCTCGCCCTCGCATTTGGCAAAGAAAGAGCGCAGGTACCACGCGGCGAAGACGACGACGACGAGTGCGGGTCACCGTCGGAGACGTCGCCACTACCCGAACCCAATCCAGAACGAGTGGACGAACTCAAGAAAATGTTTCCGGACATCCGGATCCCACAGCTGCCAGACGTGGCCAACGCCAGATTCGACATGTTCTTCCACGCGTGGACCGACGACAACAGCGACACACCGGGACACACGCCAGTTCAAATGTGCTTGCACCTCAGTCGCATCAACTCAGGTGCCAACGACATCTGCTGCGCGCAGGATAACCAGTACGAGGTGCCAAACAACGGGTTGGACGTCAATTGGCTCAACTTTCTGGCCTGCTCCACCCTGGCCTGGACGTTTCCTTCGTCGGGGCTCACTACGTACGGATTGGTACCAGGCACGGAATGGGATGGCAAAAGATGGGCCGCTGGACTGGTCGCGCAACACATTATCGGGAAGGACGATCGGCTAAAGAAACTGCGGGTGGCACACGTCAACGAAACCATTCATGGGGGCAGAGGCCCGAGGGTCCATAGCACGGGCGAACTTGTTCACTGGCTGGCCAGACTTGACACCGAGGACGCCCCCGACCATGCGATACGTCTAGACAACGTTACCCTGGGGATACTGGACACATGCACGCGCCCGCGTGGGATTGGACCTCGACCAATCGCCCCAAGCCAAGCGGCAGCACCAGGCGACATGTCCTTTCAGCAGCTCATGGAGCGAATGGCCAACTTGGCTGATAACGCCAAGGAGAACACCTCGGCCCTGTGCGACCCGGGCCCCCAACGAATACGCGACGAGGAAAAGAGCCTGGGCCCCTTGGCCAGCGTGGCCATGAGCGCCTCTCTCGGGAGGCAATTATGTCCTGCCCACCCTGGCACGGATTTAGGCGGGCGGCCACTGTCCCGACTTGAAGGTCCACGAACAGCGACAAGTGGGATCAGGAGCAGCTCAGGAAGCGAGCCTGCTGCTGCCACAGATGAACGAGGGGGCCCGGGCGGCGATCTCCTGGACTACGACCCGAGCAAGGCCAGCGAGGAGTCTGAAGCGGACGAGGCAGAAGAGCCTCAAGGAAGCCCAGCCGCAGGGGAGGGTCACAACACCAGGACCGCTGACGATGAAACACCCAGCGCCGCAGACGATAGACCCCCGCTGCCGAGGGGGCGAGATCCGCCACACTGGGCCCCACCAAGAGGGTTCGTGCGAGGCATGGAACAGAGCGGCAGACGAGAACATCGAGACGCTCCAATTTATCGCACCGCCGATTACAGGACTGGTTCCTCGCGCGGACACAGGGACCAGTGGAGCTACGACAGGTCTTCAGACCGCCGGGCCACGCGGTCTCGCGACGACGCCTGGCGCGACCAGAACGAGCGCACGGGAAATGACGGGATATGCACTCATGGCAAATGGGTACCCTTCTTCAAGAGCCCACTGACCATCAACGAGCCCAAGAGGAACGACGGGTCCAAGATGCACAAGGCACCACTGCACGCGATCGACGCACAATACCCCGGGGAGTCCGACAGCGCCTTCGTCTCCAGGACGCAGAGGGAACT